GAAAAGATAAAATAACTTACTGATGTTTCGGATGCTAGTCCTTAGTTGGAGTAAAAGACGACTAGCAAAAGGGTAAAGGACTAGCTTCCGAAACGTCAGTCATCTTTTCACTGTGTATTAAATTTACCCTTTTATCATGATTACTGTTTGGTGATGAAAGTTACGTCACTTCATTTATCACGTTTGGCACTTTTTTAGCTTCATCCTAGACCTTCAGATGCATACAAATGATGATCTTTCAATTCAAAGGTCTCATTTAAGAGGAGTTTCGTTAAAATAAAGGCATCCAAAACATAGGTCTCGGGGTAGAGTCCTTTCGTCATTCCAGAACGAAATGTTCAATCCAGTACAGAGCATTTTGTGGTACAATGTGAACATGGTATGAACACTCATTCTGCTCTCATTGTCTTATCATTATTCATTCTATTTTTTTATTTTTTTCAAGCTTGAAAATGTCATTTCTTTTCATCCTATCGTTTGCCATGGTATTTGGTGTTACTGATGATGGTCTAAAACCTGTGCCTGTCCAAGAAGGCAAGAATGCACATTTTATGGTCAATACTACAATGCCAATTACCCATTTGAGAATTGGTGGAAATGAAAGTTTCTCTGCTAGCCCACTGTACATGAGAGTTGGTCAGGATAACACCATAACAGAAATAAATGGCACAATATATAGTGGTAGACTAATATTTGATGGTAATCTACAAAGGGGACAAGCATGGGTCACTTTGGAAAATGTGGGGCCATCTGATTATGGAAAAGTCTTTAGGTTATATTACGCCGAAGATGGGAAAGCACCCACAAAAGAGGATTTTGTCATTACACCAGAAGGTAAGTTGATAATCCAGCTATATGATCACTAAGAAGCAATATAGAGCACCAGTATTAATCATAATAAAAAGTAAGCTGCTTCTTAAAGAAAAACTTTAAAGCTTGCTATTCAGAACATAATCCTTAAACCTACCTGGTAGTTACCTAATAGTTCTAGAGAGCCTGTGATCAGTGAGAGTCTGGGGAACTGGAGTCAGATTGTTCTGCAGTAGTGGTGCTCATAGTTTCACTTTCTGCTCCTCAGGGATGGCATAATGCATGTCTACCATAGTTACATACACCATTGTATATAATTTGGCCTCCTTAATGCTCTTATTTTGCAATTGTTTTTATTTTATCTTAAAGGGGGACTAGCATGAAAATCGCCTGAAATTTAATTCAGCTGAAACTTCAATGGAAAAATTTTTATGGGTTTAATAATCACTGGTTAAAGTTTTTTCTTTATGTTTCAATGAGAAGTATTATATTTACGAATTTTTATAGGTGTCTGTGACATCAAACACTCAACACTAAACATCACTCCATACATTTCTTTGTAAATAACTTCTTGTTTTACTTTATTTCTATTAAGCTCAAAGGTCCGCTGAGGGACTTAACTTGTGGTCAGAATCACTTTGTGGTATCTTTTATTCAATAAAAGGTATAAAAAGAGTATAAAACTAGAAGATATCTTGATTACAAAATACAAAGAAATGTATGAAGCAATGTTTAGTGTTAAGTGTATGACGTACGTCACAGACTCCTATAAAATTTTGCAAAAATATAATACTTCCCATCCTAATATCAGGAAAAAATTTGAGCCAGTGATTATTAGACCTTTAAGGGTTATTCCAGTTAAGTTTCAGCTGAATTAAAATTTGGATGACTTACATGCTAGTCCCCCTTTAAAGCAGGAAATAACACTATAAGAAAATATCACAAAGATCATTGACTTATGTCTGGTGTATTTTAATTTATGGTTCAATTCACACCTCTAACATTTTGATTAAACTTGACATTTTGGCAATACTGATGGATCCTATCGTCAGATATATGTTTTATTACATGTAAGAACAACTTACTATTATGTAATCTTGCAGTCAAGACACCAACACCCAAACCACCAAGAAATGAAAAAACAACTACGTATACATTTAAGTGTTTAGTGAATTAAAACTTAATATTTATTTATTTATTTATTTATTTATTTATTCATTCATTTATTTATTTATTTATTTATTTATTTATTTATTTATTTAATGACTTTCTCAAAAATAATGAACATACAAATATATAAAAAATATGTAACAAACAAACAGTATGAAAAATGTACAGACTAGCGATAATATTAAGGGAGGACAACAGTAGGGGGAAACTAAATTCCCATATAAAAACTGTTCTTAATCTCCTTATATAAATATAAACAGGAACACGTATACATACATAAATACAAGATTCGGAAAATATATGTTACAAAAATGACTGTGTACAAAATTATATATGAATAAATATCTAATGTATTTATATATTCAACTAGTTAATAAAACAGATTACTGTTGAGTAGATAATAAAAGCGACATTAAACTTGATTTAAAATGGCTCATAGATTTAGTCGCAAAAATATGAGAGCGTAGCGAGTTCCGCAATCATTAATGTTTCTATTAAAAAATGAAAATTTAAAATAATTTGTGCGATCGTGTTTAAATCTTAGTTTAAAATTATGGCTAGATCTTAAACATGTTTCACCTATTAAGCCAAAGTACTTATTGCTATCTATATCGCAGAGACCAAATAATATTTTGTACATCTGAACAAGACAGAGGCATTTTCTCCTTAATTCTAGGGTAGGCCAGTTTAGTTTTTTAAGTCTTTCATTATACTCCAGTTCTGGGCCACATATCAGCCTCATGGCTCTCCGTTGTATTGGCTCAATAAGATTTATGTGTTTAATCAAGTAAGGGTTCCACACAGCACAGCAGTACTCCAGTGATGGTCTGACAAGGACTTTGAAGGCTGTCTCTACCGCTGCTGGAGACTTGTATCCAAACGATCGCCTTATTAACCCCATGGTACGTCTTGCCTTTGCACAGATCGAAGATATATGTCGATCCCAAGATAGTCTCTGACACAGTGACACCAAGGTGCTTATGATGATCAACAGTTTCTAAGGTCATGCCATTCATAGAGTAATCGTGTTTAATTGGCTGTCTCCTTGAAAAAGTTTGCAGTCATTATTGGTTGATTCAATTTGCTTGTGAAGAACACTGTCGTCCGCAAAGAGGTCTATGTTGCAGTTTACACTAGATGGAATGTCATTGATGAAAATTAAGAGCAAGAGGGGACCCATTTAGCCAACTCGAAGTTTTTCCTTCAATATCCACTCTTTGTACTCTTCCAACAAGAAAATATCTTAACCAGTCATGCACGTGACCATTAATGCCATAAGACTGCAATATTTGTAAGAGATGTGGATGAGAAACTTTGTTGAATGCTTTTGCAAAATCAAGAAAAGCAATGTCTACTGCTCCAAATTTGTCAAGTGTCGAAAGCCATTGATGTACCAGTTGTTATAATTGTGTCAAGCATGAGCGGAATCATCTAAACCCGTGTTGGTTATCACATAGTAGTTTTAGTTTTGTTAAGCAGTCCATGATGTGTTTATGTATTAGACGCTCCAGAATTTTAACCCCTGACTAATTCGTGTCAACGAGATTGGTCGATAATTGTTTGCTAACACACGGTTCCCCGATTTGAAAATTGGAACAACGTTTGCCATTTTCCAATCGCTTGGAAGGTGACCAGTGTTCAAGGAATGATAAATACCTTTACGAGGGAAGGTGCAACTTCTTTAGCACATTCCTTCAAAATCTTTGGATGAATGTTAACTTGGCCACATGATTTACTAGCATCAAGTCCAAGTAATAGTTTTGTGACCTTTTCCTCTGTTCAGTACAAATCGCTAATTGAGTGGTCTGTACGTAGGGATGAAGATGGTACTCTGGATTCCTTTCCTTTCTCATTGAATACAGATTGGAAGAACATATTACTGTTAGTAAATATATCAGCATTGATTTCAGGAGAATAGCCTTTGCAATTGTTATATTCAATACTGCTTGGTAAGCTCGAGGTGCCATTGCGTGTCTTCACGAAGGACCAGAATCTCTTGGGATTAGAGCTAAGAGAATTTGTTAAGTCGTCTACATACTTATGGTAAGCTTTGCAAATATTGTTTTTTACCATGTTGTTAAAATCGTTTGTATGCAGTCCACTGATTAGCATCCCCAGAGGAATTAGCCAGAGTCGACGTTTCTTGTGAATTGATTTCTTGAGATTTGAAGTTAACCAAGGAACATGATGTTTTGATGAAATAAATTTAGTTATGGTTCCAACTCCCGTTAATTACCATTACCATGTCCCACAAGCTCAACCATTGAATAATTTAGCTAGAATATCTCAGAATTTAAAACTCTGATTGCAGAAAATTGATTATAAATTGTTTCAGTTGTTTGCTATCCTGTGAAAATGGAGTAATTTACTCGTAATCCTTATAGTACTCGTTAAAACAATACTGTATTGTCCACTAATTAGAAACAAGTGGAGGACTGGGAAAGAGTATTAAGAAGGTTTGAATTAAGAGGAAATTTTTTCAATAATGAGCAAAGATGGCAAAAAGTGCCAAAAACAAGACTTTCGTTTGGTGTTGGTGTTTCAAACAATGAAGTGCGATTCAGAGATGCAGAACTAGCGCGATTGTTTAACTCTGATTATCGTGTGAGAGTACATCGTTCCCGTGGTGACACTGGTCAAAATGAGGCGGAGAGGACAAATTCCGGTTGTGGAGATTCAAATCGTGGATGGAGGAACGATAGAATGGGAAAAGTTCAAAAAGTATGAAGGAATGACAGCTGATGATATAAAAAATTGATGTTAAAGAATACGAGGAATATGAAAAGAAAAGAATGCAAAAAATGCCTGGTCAGTTGCTGAAGAATTGCAGAAGCGCATAGACGATGTATAGATATGATTTGGAACTTTTACAATCTTCATTATGACACTGGGGAGTCATACCTGGAATATCTGAAGAAAGATTGCAAAAACAAGCAGGGAAAGCTATGCCAATTTTGTGAAAATCATGACTCGGTTGGTCCACCACAGGAAAGGATGCCTCAGCCAGTTCCTGATTCTAACAACCCTGGGCACCATCAAAAGCTTTCAAAACCCCATCTAAAAACAGGCATCCTGATGATTGGCTGCCAAGGGCCAACATCAAGAAAGCTTTCAACGATCCTACAGAGTTTAATTTGGAAACAGAAGATGATGTTCAAACATTTGCTAATAAGTTTGCTGTAGATGTAAAGCATGTTAAAGAGTACTTTTGTCATCTAAAGATATTAAAACAGGGAGCAGAGATGAGAGCTACACAGAGGAAAAAAATCTAAAAAAGACCAAAAAAATTTTGACGATTATAACTGGACGGAACTAGTCTTGGATGAAAAATATAAAAATTGAAAGTACATGAACTTGACAAGTACTTGCTCATAATACAGTCTTCTAACTGGCATCAAGGCACTGAAGAATGATAAAGTTAACTGCATCATAAGTCATGTGTTGAATTCGAAAGCAAATACAACGATAACTAGAACAAACGATGCTGAATGTTTAGACCAGGACGAAGGCATGGAAACAGATGATGAAGGAGATGAAGATGAAATGGATTCAGATGAGAGTGATGTTGTATTAGATGATTTATCAGATAATTCAGATAATTCAGATGAAGAAAGTGATTTGCCAGAAAATGATTACATGTTCAACTTCATTCTGGTTAGCTAGCAACAGCCTGGCAAAGTCGATTTCTTTAATACAGTCGACTCTCCCGTAAGCGACCACCCCAGGGCCTGGAGAAAGTGGTCGCTTACGGGAGGTGGTCGCTTACGAGAGTGGTCGTTCAAATAGTCTACTGTACAATAAACAAAGTTCTTGTTCGCAGATGCATTTATATACTAAAGAACAATAAAACACCAGTATAATTTAAGACATGATGATAGAGAAATTTTCATCATGATTATGATGAATTCTATGGCTATACGACTATGGACTTGGTATATGGAGAAGCTCTTTTTTTGTTAATATAATGTTAACCCAATTTGAGTTTTTATTTTAAATGACTGATTTACTTTTTATATATGGCTGCTTTTATTTTTTCAAATTTTTTTTGACCCCTCCTTTGATCGCACGAGAAAATACGTAACCCCTCCTTCAGAGGGCTCCAAAATGTCGTAACCCCTCCTCAAAATCACCCACCCCCTACCTCACCATAAATAATGACCGCTCCCTAAACCTCATTTTTAAATAAAATTTTTGCTGTTGTATAAGGCTAAAATCTTGTTATTCAGACAGTTCAAACAGGCATTTTATCAATGTGGTGCATTTTGATTCGATTTCAATGCATGGCTTTTATTATGGGAGACATTATCTTCATCTCGAATAAAAAATAATTGAAGATTTTTTTTCCAATCTTATTTTTACCTTTCAGATTCATTCAAATTGGGCTCCATGTGACTTTCGTATCAGGAGCTCCGCTTTTAGGCAGTGCCTAAAAATATACATTTTAGTCAAAAGAAAACAGAAAAATTGAAAAGTTGGGTTTCCCTGTGTTTTGTCTGGGAAACAAAAATTTGAGCACATTATGCCTTCTCTAAAGGACACGAACAATATTATATAAAAACACAAATAAAACAAAGTTTTTCATGTTCTGTTCAGCATAAATACAGCATGCAGGAA